ACATTCTCTATTACACTTCATTTCTTTTCCCTTTATGCTTTTTACAAAATGTTTTCTTTCACGATAGAGACCGAAAAGCTGATTCGAACTAATGTGGTATACTGTTCTGCGATGGAAATGAGCAAGCTTTGGGTAGTGTGTCAGGAAGCATGAGATCCATTCAACAGGCTGGCTGCTCCTTCTTTCTGGAACACTGTCACCTTTGTCTGACAGTCACAGGCCCAGGTCTTTCCAAGGCTTATTCATCTCCATGGGGCCTTCTCTGATTGGTATCTAACAGAGCTCTGGCTTCATGGGCTCCATTCACCTAATATGATAAATGAATTATGGAAATCTTATCATTTATTAGCACTTGTCTGATGGTCTTTTAATTAACTAATTAATTTATTCATTGTATGTGGGTGTGATGCATGTGGGGCTTATATAGGAGCCAGAGGTCAAAATCATTGTGTTACTCTAGTGCTTTCAACCTTATTTTTTGAGACAGGGACTTCCAATGAAACTGTAGCTTGCCAATTGGCTAGACTGATCAGAAGCCCCTGGAATCTTCCAGTTTCCACCTCTCAGTGCACCGCCATGCCTGGCTTTTTTTTTTCTCTCTTTTTATTTTATTTTATTATTTTATTTATTTTTTTATTCCCATTTTTGATTTTAATTATTTGTATACTCCTCCCCATCTGCCCATTCTCCTACTGCCTCCTGCTCAATTTAATGTACTCTATTATATACATATATGTGTATCTATACACATACATACATATAATAAGGCCTATAGAATCTAATTTGTTTTCCCAAATGTCCTTCAGTGTGGGTCCATCTACTAGAGCCTGGTTAGCTAACCAAGAGTCCAGTCCTTGAAAGAGACTGTCTCTCTTGCTTCCCAGCAGCCATCAGTTGCCCAAAATTCCTTAGGTTGGGGTTTCTTACTCACTTCCCCATGTCTATGCTGGGATTTTGTCTGGTCTGAACTTGTATGGGACTTGTACATGCTGTCACCACTGCTATGAGTTTACTGACCAGCTGTCTGGAAAACTCTATTCCTTATGGTCATCCACCACCTCTGGCTATTACAATGTTTCTGTTCCCCCTTTCTTTAGTGATCCCTGAGCCTTGGGAGGTAGAAGTCTGATATAGGTATCCTGTTCAGGGATAAGCACTCTGTAGGTTTTTGTTCTTTGCACATTGGCCAGTTGTGGGTTTCTGTGTTAATTCTCATCTGTTTCATAAAGAAACAGAATTAAGAGATGCATTAATCCACAGGTATAACAATACTTCATTCGGAGTCAGTTTAACAGTATAATTACTTAGTAGAAAACTAGTATTGAGCTCTCCCCTATGTCTTGTGACCTGTCTAGACTCAGGCTCCTAAGCCTGATATCAATGTCAGGTATGGGTTTCATCCTATGAAGCAGACCTGAAGTCCAATTAGAAACTGGTTCCCGGCCTTTAATATGGGTGGTTCCTGGCTTTTAGTATGGGTGTTGGGGATCTGAATTCAGGTCTTCATGTTTGTGCAGCAAGTAATTCACCCATCTCCTCCAGAAAGGAAATGGTAATTCTGTTCCTTCGTTTATGTGTTTCTCATATTTCTACACCACAAATTAACTTAATGGAAAATTGATGGTTTTTGTTCATCTTTAGGACCTATAACTGTTCCAATGCATAGCAAATATTCAGAAAATATTTATGGAATGTATGTGGAACAAACAACCAAGACTAATAGAATATACAGTACTTCTGCTCCTGACTGTGGTGGGTACACAGAGCAGTATAGGAAGGTTCGAGGCACAGGTTCTGTCCTTGAGAATGGAAATTGAATGGCTTAATAATCCCATACATCAAGTAGAGGCAAGCTTTTTAAGTAAGCTGATTAAATGATGACTCATTATCTTAGTCTCTTGACTGACTTTGAATCAGATATGTGCTTCTGGTAAGGAAGCTTACATTCCCAGCTTCAAGGCACAGAGAAAGAAGCTTGGCTTGAAACTGACCTGGTTGCTTTTTAAGCACCAGTTCCCAGAGCTGATTCATGGGTCAATTCAGTGCTTGTAGATTGTGTTTTATGATCACGGGGCTTCACCTAGGTGCTTTCTGAGTCAGGCAGGGAGGATTCCCGCCCTTTCCCTATACCTGTTCTTTTGTGTAGACGTGGTTCCATCCTTTCCCCGTATCTACATCCCTTTGCAATGTGATTTTACATTTTTTTCTCATCAAAAAGGACAGTCTAGAATTGGGAGATGGTTCAGCGGATAAATCCTTTACCCTGAAAGTATGAGGGCTGCAATAAGATCCCCAGAATCCTCTTAAGTGCTGGATAGACATGATGACCCACCTGTAATTCCAGCACTTGGAAGGCAGAGACAGGGAACCGGCAAGCTCTGGGTTCTGTTGCAAGACCCTGCCTCAACGAAAGGTGGAGAGCAGTCATCAACTTTGGAATGTTACATGCATGTGTACACATGTGTACATGTAGCAGTGTGCACATGTGAGCCCACATATAAGGGACTGTGCAAACACACATGTACACACATGTAGAAAAAAAGCAAAAAAGGTGGGAATCTGTTCTCCATCTTCTGAATCTGGGCTTGATTGTGGTGTGGCTTACTTTAGCTAAGGTTATCTAAGATGAGGGTTCAAATGTGCTTGTGGGGTTTGACTCTCTTGCTATTCTTGGGAACACTGCACTGGTAATGTGTGAATTAGCCAGGACTATGCTACCCGGAGACAGGTGATCCATGACCCCATTAGCACTCTACCCCTGTTGAAATCTAACTAACTACAAGCAGGTGATGGAGTCCCTCAGTTACAGGCTGCTTACAACTGTGAGTTAAGGTGGTGGCATGTAGAGCAGGAACAGCTATCCCAGCCGATGAGGCCCAAATTACTGACCCATAGGTTTGTGAGCAAATACACAGTGATTTTAAGCCACTTAATTCTGAGTGGTTTGCTAGGTAGCAAAACTCTATTATGTCTGCTCTTGCAACCATTCCTTTAAAATAATTTTATCCAGAATAATGCCCAAGGTAGTAATTTAAAACTTCCCATATGCATAATCCCCAAATATGTATATATGTAAATATGAAAAAATAGATAATAGGATTATGAGAGATCTTTATTTTATCCTTTACCAAACTTGCAATTTGATAGATCCCTAAGTCCTCACCCAAGCGGTCCCCTCGTCATCAAATTCCCAGCCTCCAGATCAGGCAGACAGACCTGCTCAGCCTTAACTCTGGTAAGTCAGATCCAGCTCTCTGCCTCCCTACCCCATTTCTCTCATTCACCCCTGCCCCATCCCCTGCTGGCCTCTTTAACAGGTGGGCTCAAATTCCTTCACCTCAGGTCCCAGTACTAGTGTCTCAAACCTGATTAACGAAACACCCTACCATAGATTCCCTAAGTCCCCCCCCCGCCCCCACAAGGTCGCCCCTCACCATCAACTTCCCCGTGTCCCAATTAGGCAGATAGACCTGCTCAGTCAGGACTCTGACCAGTCTACTACCCAGCAAGAACTTGAAATACATACCAATTTGTCTTCCATACCTAAACAAAAAGTAACTAAGCTACATAAACAATATTCACAGAACCAAAATTAAACAGAAGCAGAGTAGAAATTCCTGTTGAATACATAACCAACAAAGAACATCCATGTGCCCAGATGGCAATGCAAAAACACAAACAATACGAAAAACCAGGAAACTATGTCCCCAACAAGACCTCTGAATCCTACAGTAGTGCACAGCGTTGATAACTACCCTGTGACCCCCAGGATGCAGAATTTAAAAGAACAATCATAAATATGATCAAAGAACTTCAATAAAACACAGACAACTCAAAGATCTCAAAGAGGAAAGGCATCAACTTGCAATTTATCTATAAGAAATTTAGAACCTTTTGAAAACAAGACAAGCCAAGCCAAAGTGCTGGGGCAGTTTCTCCCTGCCCTCTCTGATCATGCCTCAGCAGATTCTGATGGGATATGAACTCTTTCCATCTGGCTGAAGCTGCTGGATTATAAACACACACATTGAAAAGATATTGACTCCTCAACCCAGGGCCATTTCAGAACCACTAAAAGGTGACAATCTATGCTTCAAGACTCTTCTATCTATGTCTCCCTTGGAATGTGAATTTACTGTTTCTTTTTTTTGGATGTCACTTTACCCTATATTCTGTTAGCTAGTGTATTTCAACAGAATTTCTTGTGTAGGTTATGGTAGTGAGAAACACAGAAGTCTGGGCAAGAAAATATACTATGATAAATGTTTTCTATTTGCCCTTTCTGATGAGATTCTTTTTTATCCTTTCTCTGGACCTTCCTGGGCCAGGCCAGGAGACTGGAAGCAAGGAGCAAAGTAGGTTGTGGACATTTATCTCCAGCTCCATCCTGCAGGTTCAGAGCTCTTTCCAAGCAGCCCTGACATAACATCTATTTCCAGATTCCAGTGAGCACTTCCTCACCTCTTCTCTTCAGGTCTGGGGCAATAACAACGGTGGTCTGTTTCAGAGTATAGCACTCGTCCTTGTGCCTAGTTTCTTGGAATTTTTATACATCTGCTCACAACTTGGTAAGCTATCTTTTTAGTAAGGTCTCCTCAAACTATTCAAGTTGGTCATCTGTTTCTCACACACAGACTTAGAGATCTAATAGACATAGATGCTCAAGAGAAGGGGTAGCCACAGCCCTCAAAAGTCAGCTTCTCTCTTCCCACAAAAATGAAATGCAGTAGGAGAAAAGAAATGCTCACAGTTCCCATTACTTCCTACGCTCATTGTAAAGGAGACAAATTATCCATCAATTTCAGGTCATGGGTAATTCTGAATAACAGGATGACACAGAGAATGGAAAGGTAATTTCCTCTTTGCAGTTCTGGGAAATAGAGTGGGTGACGTGTGACTAACAAAAATTAGAATTATGAGAAAGTGTTCTTAAGAGAATAATGCCCATGACAGACCAAGTGACAAACTAAACTGGAGGGGACCCAGCATGACAACCTTACCCGACCATCACTTGTCAGGAGGATTGAGTCACTCTTTATGTCCCTGTGAATCACTCCTTGGTTATGCAGGTAGGAGAGAGCTCTCAGAACTGACAGGCAGACAGTGGCTATCTGTTCTTCATTCATTCTAGAAAGGAAATAACATTTAAAGAAAAAGACAAGTTTAAGGACATCTTTCTAATGCTCAAGCGATGCCACTTTCTTGGGTTCTGGAAAACTAGTTCATGTCTCTAGCCCATGTCTAGAAAATCAACTGATAAAGGAAAGGAACATTCCTGGACAATGATTCCCACAAAAATCAATCCTGGAACTGAGCATGCCAGGGGCCCCATAAAGTCAAAGGAAAGTGATTCTATTTGTTAGTTTTTTGTTATTAGTTCAAATTCATGTCCATGAACTCTTATACTATGGGCACTGAAGCTATACTCAACTAGAATTAAAGGATTTTTAGTTTCCAGGCAGTTCATTACAGTGACATAAAATTTGATCTTCTGCCTGACCCTTCCTGCCCAGGTACTCATGGTGGTGTTAGCACATGTAAATGTCATGGCATCTCAGGTTAATGAAACTGGACTCCATATAGGCAATGGGAAGTTCTGTTATTTGTTACTAAAACTGTATTCTTAGTAGGTTGCTGATAGTGAATCAATAGATATCAATGGCCTTCACAGTATAGTATGAGTGTTAATTTAGTGAACGGCCTATACATGCACGGTATTATAATGGGCACTCTTGGGAATATAGTCAAAAGGGATGCTGTGTTCCCTGAATGCAAAATGCTAAGAATTTATCAAGAATTCATGGAGATGGCCCTTGAGGTGGCACCCCGAATTTTCTGTCTTACCTGGTATGTGTAACAATGTCTGTCAAGGCACCACCTTCTAGAAACTCCATGACCACCCAGAGCTCATCGCTAACAAGATAGCTGTTATACATGTCGACTACATTGTCGTGGTGATAGTCTCGCATTATCACAACCTGGATGGATGAGAAAGATACATGTTAACTTGTGCTAGTGAAATCTTTTTGTGTTTTCTCTTGAGGCAGCATCAATATTTGACTGAGAGGTATTGAGTGTTCGAGGAAATTCTTCAGGAATCTACCTTAGAAAAAGTAATCAAGAATAGCTAGTAATAATAAGGAATCAAGATAGAACATGTAGAGAGAGAAAGGGAGGAAGAAGAAGAAAAGAAGAAAATGAGAAGGAGGAGGAAGAGGAGAAGGGGAGGGGAAGGGAAGAGGGAGAATAGGAAGGTGAGAGGAGAAACATTAAGAAATGCATCAAGGTTTGTTTTCAAAGAGGGAATATACTTGGCCCGTTTGTGGGGATGTGATCAGATACGTGTAATATATACAGACCATTATCTATACTCTACTGTGGGTTAACTCAACAAAGAGCTACCAACTCACAAATAAGTGAATGGCAGTTGAGGACCATGAAGTAAACAGTAATTAGAGGAAGGGCTATAAGAGACCAACTTAATTTAGGTTGGGTCTGAGGGATGATTGGTCTGAATACAGAAAAAGTAAAACTAAATATGTTATAGGTTTTAAGAAGGCTGCCTTGACCCTGCTTATTAGAGTGTCCAGAAATCACTGCCTTGTGGCTGCTTTAAATCACTCTTTCAGAGTTTGTATTAAGTAATAAATTATCCCTATTTGTTCTGGCACTATAATTTAGGAAAAGTTTCTAGCAATCACGAATGGGAAGATACTCAAGCCCACATATTTAGAGTCATCTGTGAGTTTTAGAACATGTGCAAGAAATGAGCATCTTGTGGGAACTGGAGCTATGATAAGCCACTGGGGCCTTCATAGAGTCATGTTTCCACTGAGAAGGTTAAAATTGTAGCTGAGAGCTTTTATACTGAGTCTGTGGATCAATTCACTTCTGACTCTGTTAGCTTTCCGTCATTAGTGCAAATTCATGTCCATGAACTCTTACACTGCAGGCACTGAAGCCATTTTAAGTAGAATTAAAGAATATTTATGTTTTAGGCAGCTCATTACAGTGACATAAACTTTGATGCTCTACCTGACCCTTTCTGCCCCAGGTACTCATTACAAGATAAATGAGAATACTCCCAATAGAAAGCCAAAGAGTTCAAACAGACATAGGTGGTTCTGCAGATCTAGATTAAGCATCCTTTGCCTGACATACTGACACTTATATCCTTTTATGCTCTTTTTTTAAAGTTTTTTTTGTGTGTAGTATGTATATGTGATGTATGCATATATCTGGAGCTAGGTTGGTGGCCAGCAAGCCCCAACAATCCTCCTGTCTCCTCTCCCACAGAGATGGGGTTACAGGTGCACATGAGCATATCCAGATTTTTATGTGGATTCTGGTGATTTAAACTCAAGTCCTCATGCATAGTCAGCAAGTGCTTGTACCTGCTGAACTATCTCCCCAGCTCAAATATTGATATCTTGATGTCTTTTATTTCCCATAAAAATAATCTCTTTCCCCTCTATACTCATAAATTAAAGGAATATTATTCCAAAGTGCTGTTTCCTGACACAAGTACTCAGATTTCCCCACTTATTTGGGGGCTCTGAATTGATACTTGTACAATTAATATGCAAAAAAGTTTCCTTAATATATCAAGTATTCTTATCAAAAATAAAGATGCTAGTGTACTAATTGAAAAGTATGCAGAGGAAATATGATTTATATGCTCTGAAGAGAAACCAGCATATAGAGGATAAGATTTAATGTAGTATTAAATTGTATATAAATATATAAAATAAATTTAGTAAAGTAGTAATAACTCTAATTAAAACAAGAAGTTTACTAATGTCTATCAGATGAACAGAAATAATATAATATCTAGTAATGCTAGTTAATGTGAAATAGGACTGTTATTTTTGAAGGTCCAAATTGGTATTTTTCTGAAAACATTATGCATGATTGTTCTAAAACTCACATATATTTACATACAGCTAAATAAACAACACTCACTGAAAACTGTAAAAGAGACAAACTGAAAACAACATAAATCAGAGATTGGTTTAAGGAATTTGATTCACATAATGATGGACGAACTTGAGGTCATCGAAATGATGTTTTGATATACATTAAAAATAAATCACTGTATTTTGATAATTTTTATCAATACAAGGTTAACATTAAGTGAAATTAGAAAATATCAGACTACACATAAAAAATTATCCCAAATAGATGATACAGAAGTAGAAAAATATAAGAAAAATACTGAAATAATAACATATGTCGTTATTGTTTGACTGTGGAGTTACGGGGAGTGTTTGCTATATTTCTCATACCTTTATGGGCAGAATTTATAATTTTAATAAAGGCTAGGGAGATATTTTAAAGTTCCTGAAAGATGATAATCAGGAAGTAGTAAACTACTTGTAATTGTGTTAAGGAAATTAGTTACA